ATGATTGTATTACACGTTTAAAAGAACAAGAAGTAATTATTGAACAAATGAATGCTAATGCTGCAGATAATCAACGTTTAAGAGAAATTGCTAACAATGCTGAACAACTACAAAGAGAAAATAATATTTTGGAAGAAAGGATTCACGTTGCTGATGAAGAGTTTGTTTTGAAATTAAAAATTGTATTTTTTAAATTTTTTAATTTTTAGAATATTAGAATTGAAGAAAGAAAATGGAGAACTTAGAAAGTCGTTAATGAGTATTTACCATGAATTGGAGCAAAGCAAAAATTCTGTTGGCGAGCTTAAGAAGAGTTTGGACAACAAGGAGGCTTTGCTAAAGGTTTTTTTCTATTTTTTTATATTTAAATGTTTTTTAAAAACTCTAATTTGTAAAACTAAAATGCAGGGGAGGACTAGTAAAATAATTTAAAATTTATTCTAAAATGAGATTTTTTGCTTCATTTTACCTCCACCTTTAACACGGAACCATATGTTACTTTGAGTACGGATTCGGTATTTTTTGGTACCATTCGATAGAGGACCCTATTTTCTATTGGATAGTGTATCCGTTTTCTTACAAAAAACGTATTGGTACCATTCCTCAATCGAATGGTACCAAAAAATACCTAACTCGTATTCACAGAACATATTGTTCCTTGTAAATCAATTTCTATGACCTTGATTTTCGTTAACCGCTTTATTTCAAAAATTCTCATAATTAGTTTTGTTATAATTAATTTTTAAAGAGCACCGAATCAGAACGTCAACGAATCGAAGCAGAACTTGACCAAACACTTTCTAAATTATCCCAAACTCAAAATAGAGAAAAATATTTGGATGAAGATTTAAAAGAAGCGTTAACAAAAATAGATAAATTAAAAATTGAATTGGAAAATTCTTTAAAAGAATTACAAAAATGGCAAAATGAATATACAGAAAAGAAGGCAGAAGTTGATGAATTGTTGGAAATTATTGCTGAATTTAATAACAAAAATATTGAAAAAGAAGGGAAGAAATTCAATAAGAAAAATATTAATAGAGGTTCTAATGATTCAGTTAGCCCTGATTCTCCGCCTGAACAAATGGTTGAATCTGGAGAATTGGTATATTTTTAATGGTTTTTTGGAAATTTCTTTTTTCAACTTTAATTGCGTTTCCAATTAGTCAAAATTTTAGGTTTCGGTTATTGAGATTTAAGGGCTTAAGCCAGAAAGGATTTTTTTATCTGGATATACTCCCTATTTATATTTATCATGGGGCTATCACAATTTTAAAATTGACGAACTTGGTCAATTTTGATATCATTCAATGGATCTAATATGACTACTAATTTTTGGAAGATTTACTAAATTTCAGAACATTCTTTCATTATTTAATATAGTATTCCAGTCAAGTAAATATGCTAGTTGAAAAATGCATGCTCCTTTTTATTCTTAGAATTTATGTTTATTTTAGGATGTAGATAATGGGGCAGGTTCAGGTGGTAGTGCTGGTTGGTCAGACCTTGGGGATGGAATTGAAATTACTGGAAATGATTCAGAACCAAAAGTTGGGGAGAAAAGTCCACCAAAACAAAAGAAGTCTTTAACTAAAGATGAACAAATTTCTGAAGCAATTGTTGGGGAAGAAGATGTTAAGGAAACGAAGAAAGAAAGTGGAGATAAACATTCTGCAAAATTGGTTGATATTTTGGAAATGGCAAAACTTAAAGGGAAGCTTCGTTCTTTGGAGACTGAAAGAGGACAATTAAAGTTTGTAGTTTATAATATTAATTGCGCTTTTTAATAACCTAAAGAAAATAATTATGAAAATTATTTTTGGTTTGTAATTTGGGGATTGTAATGTTTTTTTAGACTTTTTTCGGGGTCAGTCAAAGAATTTTGAAAAATAAAAACTTGAATAATTTAAATTACTTGAATAACTTAAATTAGAAATAACCGATTTTTAGCCTAGTTCTTCTACATTTTCTCACTATTTTTCAAGAAAAATTACTGACCTTATAATACTTTTTTCAGATTTTCTCTAAAAATTGAAAAAGAAGAAAAAGAAAATTTACAAAAAGAATTGGACCGTCTTCGACAAGAAATTGTTGAAAAAGAACGTGATTCTGAACAGAGGGAATTGGATAGACATGGACTTACTCAACAATGTTCCAAATTATTACAAATGATTGAAGAAAAAGAGAAAAAAGTAGAATATAGTGAAAATGAACGTGAAAGACTTCGTTCTCGTTTATCAGAAATTGAGTTGGAATTGAGACGTGTTGAGGATGAAAGAAGAGAATTGGTGCATAAACATAAAGAATTGGAACAATCTATGAAGAGAAGTAATGAATTGAATGGAAAATTGGAAAATAAATTGTTTCATGAAGAAAGAAAAATGAATGCAAAAATTAGACAATTGGAAGAGGTTTTCTTAAAAATTTGTTTTGAAATTAATTTTAATTTTTTAGCAATTAATTACAGCAAAATCTTCATTAAGTCCGTTAAATTTAAGTGCTGGTGGAGGTGTTAGTAGCGATTTAAATATGAGTGGAAATTCTTCTGATCGTGATTTTATTCCTTTAAATGGACCTGAGGGAGGAGATGAGGGCGGCGGTCATGTTGAGCGAAGTATGGTACCAAGCCTGTGGTCTGAAATTGAGGCTTCGGAGCCTGTTGATGAGTTAGTTCTTTTAAGATTAACACAATCAAATTTCATTATACCATTGTGATTGATGTAATTATCTTATAATGAGGTGTTTTTTATATGGGGGGGAGGGGATTTAGGTGTCTCCCTCTGCCAGGTAGTCAATTAAGTTTAAAAATGTTCAAAATTGAGTATTGTGTATATCTTATAGTCAAGTCTGATTTATTTTAGCCTTATTTGACATCAAAAAATTTTTTCTTTCAGATTAGTCAACCTCGAACGAAAGGCCAGCATGCGCCGACGTAGAAGTGCTGCTCGAGAATCTCCCTTCCTAGGAGATATTGTTCACATATCAAGCTCTGGACGTGAAGAACGTTTCAATACTTCAAAATATTCTTCTGTTTCTTCTACAGCCGTTCCACGTCAAAGAATGCGTTCTCGTTCAGCTGGAAGGCAATCTGCTCGTCTTACTGGTGTTTCAGCGACAAATCCTCTCTACAATACTACAAGTTCAATTGGTGCTTCAACAACTTCTTTAAACCGTCAAAGAGCTTCTGTTTTACCGACAGGGAAGAGTTCTCCATACAGAAATATGATTGAAAGACCAGCTTCTACACGCCCTCGAAATAATTTGTATACGACTACATCTGCTGGAGCAATGTCAGGAGGAGCTTATTCTTCAGATTCTAATGGTGCTTCAAGTCCTCCTCCAGAGGTAGATTTTAAACGATTAAATCCCTATTTGGGTTAGAATTATGCCTCATCTTGAAATTTTGAGAAAACTTGATATTAATTTAACTTGAAGGCGAAATTTGTAGGAGTAAGAGTTTTCAAGTTTCCGATCCTTAAAATTTAATACTTATTTTTCATTAAATTTATAAATTATTTTTAAGATGCCTCTTCTTTCTGGCGTTCCTCCGCCTGGCTTAAACAAAAGACCTGCTATTATTTTACCACAAAGGATGCAGGTACATTTACACAAACCTGCGAATATTTTACCTAAATAATTAAAAAGAGTAGAAAAATATTTTTTTAAGAAAATTAACGTTTAATTAGATTTTAGGTTAAGACTAAATCCATTCGTTGGGAAACACCCTTTGAAAACGTGGTTATGGTCTCTCTTCCACAACCCTCTGCAGCAATTTTGCATCTCAATTTTTAAAATTATAGCAATAAGTAAATAATAGATAAAATAGTTGTAAGTGATATTAATAAAAATAGTACATAGTTAAAAACAACAGCTGTATTTGGGAGGTCCATATTTTGTGGAAACCCACTTACAGACAGATTATCAAATGGAAAACGAGATATCCAAAATTTTACATTTTTAAATGTTGGGACAAGAAATAAATTAACACACTGATAAGGCAAATTAAATAACCGTTATAATACATTTATAATTTTATCTAATACGATATTATTTATCCTCCTCCTTGCACAATTCAATCAATCCTACTAGTGGTGTTTGGAACTTCGACACCTCTCACCACTTTGGGTCGACATTCCTTACCAAGAGCAATCAGACGTTCCTTTAAGAAAATAGTCAAATTTATAAAAATGTATAACTAACAAACCTGACAACCACAATAATGCTGGTGTTTCTAAGGTTTGTTAGTTATACATTTTTATAAATTTGACTATTTTCTTTAAGGAACGTCTGATTGCTCTTGGTAAGGAATGTCGACCCAAAGTGGTGAGAGGTGTTGAAGTTCCAAACACTACTAGTAGGATTGATTGAATTATGCAAGGAGGAGGATAAATAATATCGTATTAGATAAGATTATAAATGTATTATAACGGTTATTTAATTTGCCTTATGTTAATTTATTAGTGTTAATTTATTTCTTGTCCCAACATTTAAAAATGTAAAATTTTGGATATCTCGTTTTCCATTTGATAATCTGTCTCATGGTTCGAATTTATTTTTTAAATTTAGAAAATTATTTTTAAGTGAGATAAGATTTTCGAAATTGATTGAGATTTTAGTTACAAGGAGAAAATAATATTTCAAAAGATATTATTATTTATTGCTATATTTTTAAAAATTGAGATGCAAATATGCTGCAGAGGGTTGTGGAAAGAGACAACAACCACGTTTTCAAAGTCACCTAAATAATTAAAAAGGATAAAAAAATATTTTAGATTTTATGTTAAAACTAGATTTCTTTTCGAAATTTAGTTTCTTTTAAAAGTATTTCTACTCAACTATAAGACCGAAAGTTATTGTTGTGTATTTTTTATTTTATTTTTGTTTTTTTTTTGTAATTTTAACTGATTATATAATTTTGGGTAAAAATTAGTTTTTATTTTCGAAACAAAATTTAGCGAAAAATAATAAGGCAGTAAGGTGAATAAAAATCTTTCTATGATCTAGGCACAAGTATATCCTCCTTCCCATCGTTGTTGTGGTTGTCGTTCACAAACATCAAAAGTTAATCGAATACAAGCAAATTCATTTTCTATAAAAATTTTTTTAATTAATTTCAGTCTTAAAAATCCAAAAAAATTGCCATAAAGTAGCCAGGGCAAATAATCATTTTTATGCCAAATATTCTTTTGCTGTTCAATATACCAATTTTTAACTTGATCAAAAGGTATATTACTGTCCACATTTTTTATTTTCTGTTCAAATTCTCTAAGAGAATTTCTTTCAATTTGTGCTTCTTTTATTGCCTTTTTTCGTTCAATTTCAGGTGTAGCATTGAATGCAAGGCGAATTTTTGTCTTTGAGAATTTTTTTAGGAATTGTTTTTATTTAAAAGAATTATTTAACAAAACCAACCACAATTGTTCCCTATATTTAAATTTAAAAAATAGATATTTAAATTTATATATATTTTTTACATATCCAACTTGTTGGAGTGCGGACATTGCTATTTTTATTCCGCTTTGGTCATCTTCCGTTTCGGAAAGTATATCTAATTGACAATCTCTGAAATAAGAATAATTTTTAAAAATTTAAATAGGCGTCATAGGAATTATGGGATTATTTGCCTACTTTGGTTATACCTTAAGGAATATGGTGTTTTTGGTGTTCTCAGAAATGAAATTTTCGACCAGTATTAAAAAGGAAATCGAACATTCTTTAAATTGTTCAAAAGTTGGGGATTCAGCTCTATTATCGGGCGAATCGAATTTTCGATTAATATTTTTTGAACTTTTGACCGATTTTTTTGTAAAATCGAATATTTCCGAATTCTACTTTTGCATTTTCACGATCATAAAAATTTATAAATCATAAATCATAAAAATTATAATAAGTTGATCATAAAAATCAACTCATAAAAATTCCTCTTTTCCCAATTTTGTTAAATTATTTACCCATCATTGTCTAACCAATGCCAATCATTAAAACAAAATTGTTTTCTAAAAGTATATAATCCTGGTTCTGACGGGCATTTTATACTGTAGAATTTAAAATATATTTTTTACAGTATTTTAAAAACCCTTTAAGTTGTTGAGCAATATTGGAAGGTAATAATTCGTTATCCTCTTCATTTTGTTTATCCACTTTTTTTAAACTTTCACAAATATCACAGTAATAACTAAAAATTGAATGGATGTGGATGAGGGAAGGAAAGATGCTACTATGAGTAATTACCAATTATTCCCAAAACCTCCACATCCATTAGAACTTGAATTTTGACATTTTGCTTTTCTTTAAATTTTTTATTTAAAATAAACTGAAAGGGCAAATTTACTCAGAATCCCGTACGTTAAGCCATTGATATTCTGTTTTGGCAAATATTGAATTGGGGAGTCCTAAACAAGGAGAATTTTTTATTATTTTAATTTTTAGAATTTAAGGGTAATTAAAGGTATTTACTAGAGATCGGTCTGGATTTTTCCTGGATCCAGAATCCAGTCCAGGTCATTAACCTAAATCTAGATCTAGGATTTTTGAAAATATCGATCTCTAGTATTTAGTAGGGTTGGACGGACACAAACGGTTAATCGAACCGAAGACCGAGGGTAAAAAACCGGCGAAAACCGATGAGCAAGACCGACCGATTTCGAAATACCCACTGAGGATGGATTTGTTCTGTGAATTTTTTTGGATACTTTTTATAATTTTTTATTGTTATAAGAAAATTTTAAAAGAAAATTTTCTTTTGGATTTTCTGTGAATTTTTCCGATAAATTTCCTTCAATTTTAATTCTTAACCATTATCGTCCACAATATGTATATTTCTAATTTCAACAGTAAAACAGCCAGGAAATTTAATTATTGAAGGTCTAATCTTTACCTTTAAAAATTTTAGTTTTTTCTTAAATAAATTTATTTTTAATATTTAAATGCCTGTCTAGCATCCATTTCCACTAATCTCTTTGAATTTGGTCTGGCTAAAAATTAAAAAAAATTTTTAATTTTGGAAGCAATTTTTACTGCAAGAGGCATCTGCCTTTCCAGGTATTAGCCACAAATCTGGAGAGAAAATTTAAAAAATATTTTTTAATCAATTTTTGGCATTATGTTATTTTCAAAAAAAATTTTTTTGAAAATTAACCCTGGTAATTGCAATTTTGTTTTCTCCTTTTATTATTAATATTTTTATTGTTGGGCATAAATTGTTGACAAATTGAATCTTTAAAAGAAAATTGAGAAGAGAAAAGGAAATTTTTAAAAATTTTGTTACCACCGGGAAATTGTTCACAAAAAATTGTTGAGGCAGAAAATTCGTAAGAGAAGGGAAGAATTAATAAAATAAAAATATTAAAAAATAAATTTAAAGACAATAAAATATTAAAAATCATTTTTTAATTAAGCCTTTTTAAAAAAATTTAAAAAATAATTAAAAGAGAAAATTCCTTTGGTTTTCTCTCACTAAAAAAATTTTTATTTCTAATTTATTAAAATCTCCACCTTATCCCAACACTTTTTTATCATATTGTTCAACAATCTACGGCATATCACACTTAGAGATCGACCAGATCCAAGAAAGTAAAGGAGGAAATAATGATTGTTACTGGGCATAACTCCGGGAACTAGCTCCACCCAGAGGTGTGTCGGAAATGATGAAGGTGCCGGAAATCGGAAGTGGCTTAAAAGGAATCCAGCCTAAATTTTTGAAATCGGAAGGAAAAAACGTAGGAGATCGGAATTCCGATCCACCTCTGGCTTCGACAACCAGTCGGAGCTAAGATTTTAAAAAGATCGAAGCCAGAGCCACAAAATACCTATTTATGGCTGCTTTTGTGAAAGTTAATGACTAAAAATGGGGGGTTTTTGTAAAGTATGTATGCTATGTATTAAAAAAGAATCTCAGAATTAGTAAAAAAATTATAAAAAGTGGTTACATAATTTGCAGAAAATAGTTATAAATTAAATAAAAATAAAGAGTCTTTAAACTTTCCTTTTTTTCATTAAATTTTATATTAAAATAAATATTCATTCAAGCATTGTAAAACCAAAAAAATACAATAGGATTATTTAAATTTAAAAAAAAAGTATCGAAAATAAAGCTTTTTATTAAAAAGAGAAGCTTTTATTGAAAAAAGATTTTGGTGAAAAAATATAAATAAAAATAGTAAAAATTGTAGACAAAAATGAAAAAAAAGTGAAAAATAAAAATTTGAATTGCCCTCAATTATTTAAATAAAAACAGGAAATTTGAAAAGAAAAAAAAAGAAAAATGCGCGATATTTTGCATTAAAAAATAAATAAATTGAACAGTGTTCAATTTATTGAAAAAAACACAAAAGAGACAATTCAAAAATTTGTGGAATTTGGAAATTAAAAAATAAATGGGTAAATTGAATAAATCTAGGTAGGTAAATAAATAAAAAAAGATGAGAAGTTTGGAAACATGTAAAGAATGGAGTGTTTTTCCATGAAGCGAATTTTAACTTTTTGTTGTTACTTTAGTGTAATATTGTATCCTAACTTTTTGAGGATTTTATTTTTAATTGGAAAGAGACTTGAACCACAAAGTCTATCAAATCAGTTGGACAATAGAATGACAAAGAAATAATGTGTAGTATAACTGATGGATGCATCAAAATATTCAGTGCATCATAAACAGGAAGACTTTGTCTTAGTAACTACTACTTGCTATATTTTCTTTACTCAGAAACAAAAATGCACTACTTTCAAAATTAACACAATTATTTACTCTTTTTAAGACTAGAAAATTTGAAAATCCGAATGAAAATGACAAAAGTTAATTCCCCTCATAAAAGAGAAAATTTTTCTCTCTGACCATTTTTACTTTTCTCGCGTCTGACCATTTTATATTTTTCCTCGTTATTGACCATTTGGGTACGGCCCACCTTGTCGCGGGCCACCTTGTCGCGACCACCTTGTCGCGACCACTTTGTCGCAGGCCACCTTGTCGCAGGCCCACCTTGTCGCAGGCCACTTTGTCGCAAGCTTTCCTTTGGTTTTTCTTTTAAGGTTGGCCCAAACTTTGCTCGCCATGTGCCATACTTCATGCCACGGCTACAACGATGGGAAAATTAGAAAGGTTTGGAATTTTTATTTTGTTTTTTTAAGTTTTTTTTAATTTTTTAGTTGATTTCCGTCAGTTTCTGACTGGCGATTTTCAAGTTAGAAGTTTCTGAAGGAACGAAGATGTTTAAATTAGGAGAACATTGACAAGAAAAACAAACCCAAACTGCCCTGCTTAGGGTCACAAATTTAATTAGTGAAGCGCGACAATGGCTTTTTTAAAAATTTTTTGATTAAGTTTTGAGTGCTTTTTCCCTTTAATTATTTTCTCTTATCCGGGTAAATTCTTCCGGAGGTTTTGACAGAGTAATACCGAACCAGATTACTCCAGAAAACCCCGATCGTGCCCAGAATGCCTTTTTCCTACTCTCCATATCAGCATAAAAATTTTTCACCCCTTGCGACAAAGTGGCCTGCGACAAGGTGGGCCTGCGACAAGGTAACCTGCGACAAAGTGGTCGCGACAAGGTGGTCGCGACAAGGTGGCCCGCGACAAGGAGGGCGTGTCCCGACCATTTATCTTGTTTCTCATTTTGCTTTCCGCGCATTTAACGTGTTTGAATAATTAGGCTTACTTTTTTAATTTTTTTCTTAATTAATTAAGTTTCTGATTTTTATTTTTTTTTGATTGACCTTAATTGACTTTACAAATTTTAGGTAAATTTACAAGCTATAATGTCAACATTACCAAAATTAGTGCCAAATTCATTATATTCATTTTCCAATCTCCACATTTCGTCGAATGCTCCTTTCTCTGCGCCGCCTGTTGAAAACAGCAATAAAAAACAAGAGACAGATCGTATTTTCTTTGGGGAAAGTTTCAACGGTTTTTAAATTTAATTTTATTAAAAATCAACGAATTTTTAGAAACGCAGCCTTATTTCTCAAACAACAATTCTCCAATTGGAAGTGTTAGTGACTTTAGCAATTTGATGAATCTTCGGTCTTTTCCACCTTTGTCTTCTGAATTGCCTCCGCCACTTTCTGCGCCACCTTTTCATTCTTGCACCAATGGGGGTGGTTTTGCTGGAATTCGTGGTGGAGGAAGTGCTGGTTGTAGTAGTGGAAATAGCGGAATGGTTCAGGGTGGTGGTACTGGAACTCGCTTCCGTTTTACTAATCGCCCAACCTCTCAGCCGGTCTATTTTTCTTTGAAAGTGTTTCTTGGTGGAATTCAGGCGTCGTTGACTACAAGTTTGTTTTTCTTTGTTTTATTTATTAATATGGGTACTCTGGGAGATTAACAAATTTTATGTCATTAAAAAGAGTTTCGGATGGCGTTGACGCCGAAATTAGACATCACTCAACGGGTGGGATACACATCTGAGTATTGCTTAAAGGAGAAGTCAAGCTCATCTTTGTGGTAACCCCCTCTCCCTTGAAATGGGGAAAAGGGACTAACTTGAGGAGAGAACCCCTCCCCCCTACGCTCTTGATGAACAAAGAAGCTCATTTGAGGATAAAATCACAGGGTTAAATATAAAAATGACTTAATTTTTCAATATTCCAAAGTGGCCTGTATTCTTGATTTTTACTACTTTCTAAATCGATTAAATTTAAAAAAGAAAAGCCCTATATGCATTTCATTTTATGCAATTTTCCTCAATCCTCGCTGATGTTTTTATTAACATTGAATATTTTTTTAGATGTTCTCCAACTTAACTTTGCCAAATTTGGTTCAAATTTTATTGACTGGCCGAAGAAGACTACAATTCAGGATCGTCCTCCAAATGGTTATTTCTTCTAATTTTTATTTAAAATTTAATGAATTAAAGGCTATGCATTTGTTGTCTTCGAAAATGAGCATTCCATCATTCACATGCTTCGACATTGCCAACAGTCAAACAACCGAATTTTCTTTCCTGTTTACACGTTGAATGGTTTAATGCATCCGGTTTAAAATTTTTAAAGATTTTTTAAAATCAAAAAAATTTGTTTCAAGGTTGAGATCAAGGTTTGGCAAATGAATGACACCACGTATGCTGCCCAGCCTGATTGGCGCAAATTACGTCGTTTTTCTGTTTTTGTTGGAGGAATTCCTAGAACTTGTACTGCAGGTTTGGTTTTAAATTTAATAATTTTGTAAAAATAACTTTTTTAAGCTACGCTCGCTTATGCAATTGAAGATGTTATTGGGCCTGTTGCTTACTGTGCAATTGAACTTGACCCGAATCATTTCTATCCTAAAGGGGCTGCCTGCGTAGTTTTCAGCACAAAAGAATCGTATATTAAGGCGATAGCTGCACACGAAGTTATTCTTTCATTTGGCTCTTTTGAACGAAAGGTTTTTATTTTTAAATTATTTATAGTAGGGCATAGAAAAGACAGGTAAAATTTTTGAGGAAATTTGTGACAAAAGTTGTTAGGAAATCCCAAAGGTGATTTTTTGTCTGTTAAAATCATTTACTTATCCAAATTTTTTCAGTCATCTTTCTAACTTTACTGAGGAGACCTTAACCAGGGGTGTCCGCATTGCGTTGATATTTGGTCTTGCGTTGCGTTTTTCACGATTGCCTCTTGTGTTCACCCCTGGCCTTAACCTGTAGTTCTGTGCTTCTGTCACCAAAAATATCTTTTGACATCCCGAATTCAGATATTTTTGGAGTATTTATATTCCTCTTCCCTTTCTTGGAATAATTTCTTTTTGATTTTTACAACTGCAATATTTTTTTTAAATTTTCAGGTCGAATTGAAAGCGTTTCTTGCATCAAATATGCCTTGTGAAAAGTGTGGAATTACTAATGGGACTCGTTTTTGCAATGAAATCATTTGCCTTGCTTATTACTGTGTCAATTGCTGGAAAATGGTTCATGTTCGTCCTTCGATGAGTAGCCACACCCCGTCAAAACGCCACGTTAAAGGAGGAGGAAGTGGAGAAAGTCCAACACAATCATAAATTTAAAATTGAGGTTTTTTTTGTTTTTGCCAACTATTACATATATTTTAATACTTTCATTTCTCTCTCTCTCTCCCTAATTTCAATACTACTAAAATCAAAAAATTTTTGAATTTAAAATGATTTTTATGTCCAAAAATGTTCCTGCCTTTCCAAAAAATATTTTTAATTTTTTCCGCTCTTTCTGCTCTCTTCTATCTCCAAACCAAACACTTGCCGCAAACATTTTATTTAAAATATTCTCTATTTTGCTATTATTTTTAAATTAATTTGCCGATTTATTTTGAAATTTTACAGTTTATTTGTTATTAAAAATAAATATTGAATTGATTAAATATAGATTTTTTTAATTTTATAAATGATCTTTTAACGACACCGCTGTTTTTAGTGAGGAAAACTTCTTAATCTAAGTTTCAGCGTCAATTTTAAATTATTTTTGCCCGTGATAATTTCATGATTTAAGAATGAGGTGTGCTGCTAAAAAATGACTTCATGAATATAGAAATGTATTTTCAAAATGAGTTGTTTTTTGAGGACCCCCCCTCCCTAATCGGATACCGAGAATCAGCCAAACCTACTCCAAACGGTGAGCAGTAGACTGAGCGCTACCATATCTATTCGATATTTTTAAATATTTTTGGATTTATTTCGATTTTGGATTCTTTAGTCTCTAAACAGCTCTGGACAGAATTGAGGTTTTAAAACAAAATTGTATGTATGTAAAAAATATACACGATTAAAGAATCTTTTGTAAAATTCAAATTTAGAAAAAATTAAAATCTTTTTATCAAATTTATTTTAACAAATTTCCTCTATTTATCCAACAATAATACTTCCTTTTTTATATTTACAAGAGCTAAGTTTACATTCGTCCTGAGGAAGGCATTGACCCTCTGGTTTCATTTGAGCTGATCCAGAAGTTCCATTATATTCTTGACAGCCAAAAGATATTGTTGGGGGAGTTGGGTCTATGTGGATATTATTTATTTCCATTGTATCTCCATAATTGTAATTTAATGCTGGAAAGAAACAAAATTTAAATTGAAAATTAATTTTATTTTTTCAATAAGTATTTCTAAGTTAAAGATTTTTTGGGTTTTCTTTTCATCTTTCCCTTGGCAAATTTCATTCATCTGACCTTCTAAACTAAAACCTAAGATCCCTAAAAACATAAAATTGTGTTAAATATTATAGTGAGGGTAATTATTCGAGTGAAGATAATAACCTTCACTCGAATAATTACCCTCACGTTTCAAATTTTGCTGGAGGGAGGGGGAAGGTAATTAATGCAGTATATACGTTAATCTACTTAAATAATAATATCTAAGACTACCGTATTTTCTCGATTAATTTCCAAGGGCAATTATTGTTTCAACCCATCCGTGGTATGGGGAATTACTCGAGTGTAGGGAATTAATCGAGAAAATACTAGGGTTAATTACCCCATTATTTAATTAAAATTATTCACTTACAAATTAATGATAGACCAGGCCCTTTAAATTTAGAATTTGCCATTTTAATACTTCGAGGGTGTTGACTGCATAATTCCCCACAAGAGCGATAAACTTTGCTGAAATTTTGAGCACAGAAATTTTGAATAATTGTTGTGCCTGCCCCAGCTTGGGTAAAAACCTTTAAGAATATTTTTTTAGATTTTATAAAAAATTCTACTTTATCAACAGCATTCAGTACCGCTCCCCCAATTACTTGATATAATTTAGGGGTACCGTCCAAACTATTTCCAAAGTCAACGGCATGGTAGCAAGTCCTTTTAAAGCTGAAATTAAAAATGTAAAAAAATTAAATCTATCTAATAAAATTCATTTATAGTTTGTTTCAGCTAACTTAATGCCCAAAAGGAAATATAGTTTCCATGGGTGGTTTTTAGTACTCTAAAGCAGAAAATTACTAAAGAAGGCAAGCCCTATTCAATAGCAAAGTCCTATAAGGATTATTCACCTAGAGAATTTAAATCGCTTAGGCGGGGGTTAAACGATCTAAAAGGATAAAAGAGAGCATTAGTGGTAGAGCTTCTGTATATGGTGAGCGAAATAACCACAAGGAGGTCGCAGATTCGAATCCTCCTCGGTGGCTAAACTTTTGTTAAACTCTGTCCAATTAACAAGGTATCCCTTTTTGCTACACCAATTTATTACTTGACCGTCAAAACCATTTTTAATTTTTTGTTTATTAAAAAAACTCACAAAACATTAGTTAATGTACACCTTCCTTTACACCAAACCCCCTTTGCCGGGACATCAATAATTAAATTACTTATAGAACCTCCATCCTCTATTTCAATAATATTCTTTCCCTTTACAGAACCTTTAATATCACAACTTGTATACATACTCGGGTCTGCAGTAATTAAGGCATTTTTAAAGTCTGTATGGCCCGTTATTGGTCTGAAAATATAATTTAAATAATTTAAAAAGGATATTTACTAAATAAATTTCTGCAAAAATTAATTTTAAGCAACTAATCTTTTTTGTATTTAATTTATTTTTAGAAATATATATTTCTGCAATTTTACATATATATTTTTTTGTAAATAATAAAATATTATATTTATTTATTTTATTGATTTAAAAAAATATTTTTTATTTAAATTTAACAGAAAATTTCCAAAAATTTTTTTGGAAATTTATCAGAAATTTAGAGTTTTACTAACTCCTAATTACTATTTGTTAATTTAATTTTAAACGTATTTCCCCTGTTTTCTAGTTAATATTAACAAATTAAAGAGAGCTGAATTTTTTTTTGTCAAGAAAGGTTTATTCCGAAAATGTTTTTATTTAACCTTTAAATATTTTCTTCAATTTTCTGACTATTTTTGAATCAAGAATTTTGAAATTTACAGTATTTACTCAAATCTTTAGACCGGTTAATTACATATTTGTTTCAACCTCTGGTTGGCGGGGAGGATATTTAATAGGAGGGGGGGGGTAATTATTTAAATTTGATTAATTCAAGTGATTATGTATTTGAATAAATTTTTTAGCTCCTCAATTAATCCAGAAATCTTTAGGGAACAGGCAGTTTTCACTACAAAACAGCCTTTTACTTAAATAATTTTTAAAATTAACTCCAATTAAAACTCTAATTTAATTTTTAGATTATTAAAAAATTAATTTAAATAAATTTATACATTGGTACTTTAATTGGAGGTGTTGAAGTGTCTTTAATAGAAGGAAAAGGGCAAAATTGAGTTAAATTGGAATTAAATAAATTAAATAAATAAAATAATATTTTTGGGGAAATTAATAAAAATTTGAAGAAAAATGGGAAAAAATATTTAATTTTAATAATTAACATTTTTTTGTGAATAATATAATAATTTTTGAGAGAGAAAATAATTTTTTTTATTTTTTATTAATTAAATTATAAAGAGTAAAAACTATAAAATATTATAATTATTTTCCCTTTTTTATAAAATAATGAGAAATATAAAAAAATTATTAAAAAAAGTATACAATTCTTTATTGTTTGTGTCAACGTGGTTCTACTAGTATAGCTAGAAAAAATTTTTTTTTAATATTTTTGGCTATTAAAATAAATAATTTTAAATTTTTTGGTACAATTTAATACTTTTAAATTAAAATTAACCAAACTAGGGAGTAAAATTATTAATAATCTTTTTTTATTAAAATATTGTTTATTTAAAAAGTTGATCACAAATATAACAAAAATATTTGGGCATCCTGCCAACCAGAGATAGGTCGGAACAGTCAGAGGTATCGGAAATTGGAAGAGCTAGAAATCGGAACTGATTCAAAAGTCGGAAGTCGGAATTTCGACCCGCCTCTGCTGCCAACCAGACTCCCGAAAACTGGCTTCTTTCGAATGTTTCTACTAAATTTAGATAACGAAAAAAAAACCTTTTCTTCGTCCTCTGCTTTTATAAAAATGCAATTTTATTTTGCGGATTTTTCCCGAAATGATTAGAAAAATAGGAGTAAGTACAGGAGAAATTTTATCAGATAACTTGAACTGTCAAAGCACTAATTGTAAGTAACGGAGGTTTTTCGTAATGGAAAACGTTAAAAAAAGTGAGAGAAATATTATAATTACAATCGAATCTTTCTGATATATCATCCCTCCAATGTCACTTTCCTTCATATGTTCAGAGGGTTTCTAAATTTAGGTTCTAAAGGGGTGATCTATTAGAAAGATCAGATTTATTCATTTAACAATAATACTTCCTTTTTTGTATTTACACGATCTTAGTCTGCATTCATTTTGAGGCAAACATTGACCTTCAGGCTTCAAAGTTGACCTTCCTCTTGTCCCGTTATATTCTTGACAACCAAAAAATATTCTTGGATAAGTTAATTGGATATTATTTATATACATTGTATCTCCATAATTGTAATTTAATGCTGAAAAAAATTTTTTTAAAGAAATTAGGGAAATTTTCAACAATTTTCTGCATTTCTTTTTATTTCCCACATTTTTGTTATGTAGCGTCAATTAAGTAAGCGCAGGCCGGATAGTCGGGGTTATTAGTTCCCAACCATCCGCCTGGTATTCGGAGCGCCGTTAGAGAGGGTGGGGGAGACAAGAGGACGAGAATCAAGTCGGGGGAGGCGCAGGGGATTTAATTAATTAATTTAATTGAAATAGAATAGATTTACTAAAACATTTATCTTATATTTCAAATATACAGATTAAATGAGTTTTTGGTTCAGCATAAATATTGGAATAATGGAAATAGTAATATAACAGGGACTAGGATAACATTGGGACATAGACACTTTATAGGACCGAACACATCTGAACTCAAAACTGTCATTTGTTGTTTAATCCTTTGGTTAAATAGTGGGGAAAGTGGGAGGAGGAATTGGAAAATACAAATTGAATGTTTGGGAAAGTTGGGAAGTAATAATTGTGGTAATGTTGGGAAAAGGGATAAAAGGTTGTTTACATTATTGGGAATGTTCGGGAAGGATAAGGGAGTAATGGGAACGGAAATTAATAAATGTAAAAATTGAAGATAGGAGGGGAAGATAGGTGATGGGAAAGGAAAGAATTAAATTACAATTAATAAGGTGAAGATGGGATGGGAAAGAATAGGTGTAATAAATATAAATTAAATGTGAAATAAAGTCGGGGTCGGGACTTGGATAAATTTATAAGTATCGAGTCTCGAGTCCGGGGCTTACATCTCCCTACCGCCAATAAGCGCGACCCTGCGCTTACGTGCGTGGTGTGGTTGGATTTTTGGGTGAGAATATGGGGAAAAGGGGGGATAGGAAGGGGTGAGGGGGATGGGAAAGAGAACGGGAGGTTTACAAATGGTGACTCAAACTTAATTGGTCCCCGTTTGTGTAAAGTTTAGGACATAGCGCATTACTCGATCAAATGGTTACCAATTTTTTTTTGGGCCATCTGAAGGACCTTACTCACAGGGGTTGGGTGAGGGTTAATTAGTGGTTGTGGAGGAGGGTTGAATGGGGGAGAGTGTTGAAGTGGGGGAGGGTAGAAGGGGGGATAGTGTAGAAGGGGAGAAGTTGGTAGAAGATAAGGGTTGAAGGGGGAAGAGGTTTGAAAAGTTGTTATAGTTTTTAGTCTCTAACTACTTTTCATTTAATTAATTTTAGTTTTTGTTTAAGTAAAGGGAATTGGGTTCCTCATGATTTACTTTTGTGGAAGTGATTCGTGAGGTTTTGTAGTGAATGGTTATTAATCGGATGTTGAACATGGTTTTAAGCTGTTTTCCTTTGTAATGATAGACTCGATACTTAAATATAAGGGGAGCGAAAAGGAAAATTAGAACCAATTAAATATAAAATATAGATGAAGGGAAGGAAAAGAAAAATCCGGAATTAAATATTTTGAGGTGGAAATAACTATAGGGGGAAAGGAAAAAAAAATTTGAAAATTACAAATTTGGAAGAAAAGAAAATATGATTGAATTTGTTTTTGTTCATCCGGTTTCATTCTTCGGTCAAAATCATTTTGTGTTAGAGCAATTTCGAGTTCAGCTTGAATTTGTAAGCAGTTGTGTGTTCAGGGAAGCATATTGTGTTGAGAAAGCAATGGCATATTGTCGTTGAGAAGGGATTGAGAAAGGCATGTTCTGTTGAGGAGGCATATTGTGTTGAGTAAGCATATTGTGTTGGGAATGGATTCGAGTTCAGACTGAATTTTGTATAATTAGTTTTGGAGTGAGGGGTTATTTTATTATTAGAATAATTAACTTATAACATGTTGATTGAACTTAGTGAAATACCTCAAGGATTTCAACTTAGTGCATGGGAATTGATAAGGGAATTAGGAGATTGATTGTGTATCCAAAATTATTGAAAAGTTGTCCTAGGGATCTTTAATAATTTAAAGAATTTTTTTTTAGTTACCGAAATAAATTTGAAAGGGGTTTTTTTAGGATTGAAGGGGGTTGAAAGTGGGGTTTAATGGCAGTTCTAATTTCTTTGGGATGGTAATTTCATATTGCTTCCCTAAAGGCTTTTTATGGAATATAACTGGTCCTTGAGGTTTTTTTTTTAAATTGGATTAAAGGAGTTTGGGATTTCCTAAGTAGTTTTTAAATAGTTTTTGCCCAGGGATAGGTAAGTCAGTTTTAGATTCCCTCAAGGCCTTTTATGGTATATAACTGGTCCTTGAGGTTTTTGGACTAAATGGGATTGGCATCTCTAAGTGTTAACTGATGATGGGATTGAGGGAAAATTCTTTCGAAATTCTTTTCCTCAAGGTCTTTTACATAATAACAGGTCTGAGAGGTTTCCTTAAAATTGGATTAAGGGGATGGGATTTTTAAGTTTCATTGAATGATGGAGCTAATTATCAATTCTAACTTCCCAGGGGTAAATAAGGATATTTTCCCTCAAGGCCTTTTATGTGATAACATTATGGTCCTTGAGGTTTTGTTACAGTTAATTAGGAGAGGAAAAAGGTATGGGATTTGTTTTGGTAAACTTATCACGTCCATGTTCTTTAAGAATAAGTTGAGTTGCTTGAGTTCATGGTTTTCTAATGACATGTGGAGGAGTCAATGTAATAGTTGGATTAATTATTGTTGAATTTGTAGTTAATAATTGGAGTAGAAAATATAATATTAAGATTAATTTGAGAAATGCGCGTAAAAAATAGAAGTGAGAGAACGGGGGAGGGGTCAATTAGTGGGGATGGAGGAGGGTTGAAGGGGGAAGTAGTGTAGAGGGGGGATAGTGTAGAAGGGGGGATAGTGTAGAAGGGGGATGGTGTAGGAGTTAAAGGGGGGAAGAGTGTTGGAAGGATTCTTAGAGAATTTATGGGAAGATTTGGAGGTTGTGTTTTACTCATTCTAGATTAGATTAATTCATATTTAATAATAAATTAATTCTAATGGATTTCTTTACAATTGGGTTCAAAAATTGTTTGTCTGACTTGGGTTGTTTAAAAATTTAGTAGTGAGGAGTGGGGGTTTTGAAATGTCCAAATTATTAATTCTCAGTTAGATTAATTATATAAATTTAATTATAAATTAATTCTAATGGATTTCTTTACAACTGGATTAAAATTTATTGGTTTTTCTGATATGGGAGTTTTGGGAAGGGGGGTTAATTGTTTCCTAATTAGCTTAATTATGATTAATTTCAAATTAATTATAATGGATTTCTTTACTTGAAGAGAGGGGGAGAGATTGTAAGGATAAGCGCTTGGAATAAAATGTAAAAAATTTAAGTCGGAAAAAGGAGGGAAAAATATTTCAAAAATATTCATCGATTAAAAATTTCCCAGGATAGTTGATAGATTATATTAAAGGATTTTATTAAAGGATTTATGTATTTTGTCATTGGAAAAAATTAAAACGGAAAAAATTGGATTATTATCGGAAACTGGAAAAAATTTTAAAAATTTTAAAAATAGGGAAGAATTGTGTTCTCGTTGGAAAAAATTTAAAATATTGAATTCTCATTGGAAAAACCTTTTTTAATGGAAAAATGTAAAAATCGGAAAAAATGATCTCATTGGAAAAAAAACTTTTTTTTAATGGAAAAAATGTAAAAATCGGAAAAAATGATTCTCATTGGAAAAAACTTTTTTTTAATGGAAAAAATGTAAAAATCGGAAAAAATGATTCTCATTGGAAAAAATTGTAAAAATTGATCTCATTGGAAAATTTGTAAAAATAGGAAAAAATGGATTCTCATTTGAAAAAAATTTAAAACTTGGAAAAAATTTATTGTCATTGGGAAAATTTACTGGGATTTCTTTGAAAATGAGGGAAGTGAAAATGAAAACGGTTAGATTTTAATCTCTCCCTTTTTCTCTCTCTCCTTTTTTAATTCAGAAACTTAATTCTGATTAAAAAATTTTTTAATTTGATTATGGAAGGAATTGTCAAAAATAAGGGGTTACAGTAAAAGAAGGAGGGGAGAAGTGTGGGAGGGATGTGGCTATATTCAAAAATATATTTTTAATTCAGAAACTTAATTCTGATTAAAAAAGATTTTTGATGGTGGGGGGGGGGGGGGGGGGGAGTGGTAAAAATTGCTAAATAATGTTTGTAATTAAATTTATAATTATTTAAATTTATATTATATAATCTAAAAATATTTACAAGTACAAAGGAATGGGAAGGTGTAGGGGATAGATAGGAAAAAAGAAGCGAAGCTTTTCACTTCCTTCTTTTTATTTAAAAATGCTATGACGGGAAGAAATGTAAGATCGATTGGGGTTGGGAAAGTAAAAAGGGAGCTGCTAATCTTATGGCAAAAGCGACGGGATAAGCGTTACTTTTTGCCGTAAAAAAATGGAAGTGGGAGGGAATGGAATGGAAATAAAAATGGGAATGGGAGCGGGGATAATTTTTAATTTAAATTAAATTAATTCAAAATTAAATATTGAGAAGAGATTGAGGGAAGAAAGAGGAGGGAGAACCTTACTTAAAAAATATAGGGAGAAACTGGAGTGACTAAGACCTAGAGGGAAAACATTAAAAAATTATAGGGGAAGGGCGGGGGTGACCAATACCTAGAGGGCATTTGAACCATCCGGTGCTACCAGTAAGCGCAGGCCGGATAGTCGGGGTTATTAGTTCCCAACCATCCGCCTGGTATTCGGAGCGCCGTTAGAGAGGGTGGGGGAGACAAGAGGACGAGAATCAAGTCGGGGGAGGCGCAGGGGATTTAATTAATTAATTTAATTGAAATAGAATAGATTTACTAAAACATTTATCTTATATTTCAAATATACAGATTAAATGAGTTTTTGGTTCAGCATAAATATTGGAATAATGGAAATAGTAATATAACAGGGACTAGGATAACATTGGGACATAGACACTTTATAGGACCGAACACATCTGAACTCAAAACTGTCATTTGTTGTTTAATCCTTTGGTTAAATAGTGGGGAAAGTGGGAGGAGGAATTGGAAAATACAAATTGAATGTTTGGGAAAGTTGGGAAGTAATAATTGTGGTAATGTTGGGAAAAGGGATAAAAGGTTGTTTACATTATTGGGAATGTTCGGGAAGGATAAGGGAGTAATGGGAACGGAAATTAATAAATGTAAAAATTGAAGATAGGAGGGGAAGATAGGTGATGGGAAAGGAAAGAATTAAATTACAATTAATAAGGTGAAGATGGGATGGGAAAGAATAGGTGTAATAAATATAAATTAAATGTGAAATAAAGTCGGGGTCGGGACTTGGATAAATTTATAAGTATCGAGTCTCGAGTCCGGGGCTTACAATTAAAAATTACATATCCAAATTAATTTCCGAAAAAAATTCGGATATCTACTCATCGCCTCTCCAAATAACAATTTATATTTTTGTGATAAATAAATTTTTTTCCTTTTTTTGATTTTAAAATAGGGATTTGCTAAAATTGGGACCTCTTCCCATTTTGTATTTCGATTGAAAATTTATTGTGATCCCAAGTAAGGTTGAGAAATATAAGCCCATTGAAAAATATAGGCCCAGGCTGCATATTTTTAGGAAACAATGTGAATGTCGGCCTTATAATTTTGTCGGCCAAGAAGCCCGATCCATTTTGCTGTCGCTGGCGAAAATTTGCAGTCGAAACAATACTTCAAAAATTATCGGAATTTGGAAATTTTATAAAAATTTCGGAAATCGGAAGTCAGAAATCGGAATTATGATCGAACTTTGCCTTTAGGGGGTATTCTATAGTGACTATTTAAATTATCCACTTACAAATTAATGATAGACCCGGCCCTTTAAATTTACAATTTGCCATTTTAATACTTCGAGGGTGTTGACTGCATAATTCCCCACAAGAGCGATAAACTTTGCTGAAATTTTGAGCACAGAAATTTTGAATAATTGTTGTGCCTGCCCCAGCTTGGGTAAAAACCTTTAAAAATATTTCTTTAGATTTTATAAAAAATTCTACTTTATCAACAGCATTCAATACCGCTCCCCCAATTACTTGATATAATTTAGGGGTACCGTCCAAACTATTTCCAAAGTCAACGGCATGGTAACAAGTCCTTTTAAAGCTGAAATTTAAAAATATATTATTTCAAAATTCCTAAATAAAAAATCACTAGACAGCTTAGTACCCGAAGCGAATGAAATCCAATTTGCTGTTGGGTTCCTTATAAAATCCGAAGAGAGAAGGAACTTCTTTTTTAACTAAAATTTCCATCTCTGATTATAAATTTTTTAAATAAAATTCTATTATATGTACATAAATCCATTCCCCCAATTATTAAAATAATTAAAAGTCAACAAATTATATTAAAAAAGAAATTAGAATATTTTAAAATATTTTTATCTATCCTCTAATTAAAAAACTCACAAAACATTAGTTAATGTACACCTTCCTTTACACCAAATCCCCTTTGCCGGGACATCAATAATTAAATTACTTATAGAACCTCCATCCTCTATTTCAATAATATTCTTTCCCTTAACAGAACCTTTAATATCACAACTTGTATACATACTCGGGTCTGCAGTAATTAAGGCATTTTTAAAGTCTGTATGGCCCGTTATTGGTCTGAAAAAATAAATTTAAATAATTATAAACGTTGAAAATTACTGAAAATAAAAGTTAATTTATGACGTAAATTTTATTTTTTTTCTAATTTAACATTATTTTTTTTCACAATTTTTAATGAAAAAAATTTTAGCTATAAATTCAACGTTCCTTATGTAAATAAAAAAATAAATATAGATTTTATTTTTGCAAAAATATTTAATTTTTAAATTTGTGTATTTTTATTAATAAATTTTAAAAATTTAAAAACTCTAATAATTATTTCTTAATTTTTATTTAATCAAAAAAATTTTTTTAATTACAAAGTTACAAAAAATATTTTTCGAAAAAATTTTAAAAATAAAAAATATTTTCCATTAAAATATTTTTTATTTATTGGATAGCCGTAACGAGATAATAAAAAAATCTGAACTTCCCTAAATTCTCTGCTTTAATCTCAATTGAAGGAATATTAAAATCTAACAACGTTTTACAATTTTTTTTAAAAAACTAAATTAAAAATTAAAAGGTAATTATTTTTCTATCGAGTAAGTATTTCACTCAAATTTTAATACAAATTTAAAAAATTTTTCGTGAAAATAAATTTACGCTCCAACAAAATTCTTTTGAAGGGAAAAGAGGCGCGTATTGTGAATATGAATCCCTGTTTAAAATAAAGTTTCTTATCCGCTGACAAGGAATGTATGCGCAAGCAAGGTTTCGGGCAGACAAAGTTCCAGCAATTAAAAAAATTAATTAAAAAAAATACATTGGTTTTTTGATTGGAGGTGTTGAGGTGTCTTTTGGAGAAGGAAAAGGGCAAAATTGAGTTAAATTAGAATTAAATAAATTAAATAATAATATAAATATTTTAAATTTTAAAATTAAATAATTAATTAAAGAAAAAATAAAAATTAAATTATTTAATAAATTATAGAAGAAATATTTAAATTGAAATGATGACATTTTTATTTAATATTTTTGAGGGTTTCGAGGTATTTTGGAAGGTATTTGGAGGTTAATTGGAAGGTATTTGAGCTTCTTACATTTTTTAGAATTTTTGGGAGTTTTTAAATTTTTATTAGGGTTATTTTAGATATTTTTATTAATTTTCTATTTTTTTGGATTAGAAAAAAATATTTTTTTTTAAAAATTAATTTTAAATTATTCTCTCAATTAATTTTTTAAATTAAAAAATGTGTGGGAATTAATTTAAAAATAAATTTTATTTTTTGCAAAAATTTAAATATGAACCAAAAAATTTTATATACAAGAATGATGTTTGATAAAAAAATAAAAAAAGGCAAACATTTAAAAGAATTATTAGAAAAAAATATTTAATCTAAAAATATTTTTGGTGCAATCAGCACTTAAATGTGGTTTTTAGACTTTCGAAGAAAATTTTTTTGATGATTTTTGATGTTTAATTGTTTGTTTGACAGAATTCTTTGGTTAAAAACAATCAGAAAATTTTTGAAGGTTTTTTGTTTCGTTAAAGTTTGAAACCAAAAACTAAAAGTAATAAACCTATTTAAAGTCGAATTTATTTTTAACACTTTTTAGGAGCAAACATGTAAAGTAATTGAGAGGACAGTAAGCTTTGTAGAGGTATACCCTTAGGGATTATTTTGTTTATTACCCAGACTTTTGAGGATATTGAAAATAATTTTTTCTTAAAAATATTTTTTTATTAAATATTAAAAATTAAACTTAAAAATAAGCTAATTTAAAAACACGCCAAAATTCAGTCAATTTAAAAATTATAACAATTAATCTGTTCCTGCCAAATTTAATTTTTAGGCCATAACTTTACCTCTTTCAATTTAGTTTTGGCATAAATTACCAAAAATCATTTTTGGCGTTTGGTGGGATAATCAACTTAAACCGAAAATCTTTCATAACACTCAAAGAAGCATTATCAACTTTATGTGTTTAAAACCCGTTAAAAATTGATAAAAAATTAATTTTAAAAAATATTTTTCTCTCAAAATTTATTTATTTAGTTGTTTATTTTGAACATAATATAAATAATAAAGCCAATAAAAAGCATTCCAAATAGTAAAAGTTAAAGGAAATAGCCAACGAGATAATCTATCTATTGCCAAACCCTTGCGTGAATATAAAAAGCCTTGACGTAGAAAATGATTTGTTATCTAAAAAATAAAATTTTTTTTTGAAATTTTTTAAATTAAAAAAGTTTTTAATAAAATATAAATTATTTTTAAGTTTAAAATTCTAAAATTTATTTTTCTGATAAAAAAATCCCTCAAAGATTATTAATACTTAAAATTATTTTTAATAAAAATTTTAAGAGTAGAGATGTGATGGATCGAAAATAATTTCACAACACAAGACTAAGACTTCTCCCTGATTCTTTGCTGAAACCGATGCCGAATCATAGCTTAAGATCCCTTAAGACCGAAAAAAAGACCGAAAAATCAAATCGTGTTGATTTCATTATTCTAAAATCCCAATATGTCGGTCAATCCCCAATTTAAATAAAATTAAATACGAATTACCAAAGGATTTGTTTCTATTTTTCCATAATTCTTTGAACAATTTTCTTTTTCCTTTTTAAATTTATTTACAGAAGATGGCCGATAAAATTGTCTAAAATGTGCTGCTCGCTAAAAAAATATTTTTTTTTAATTTTTTAAATTTAAATTCCAATTCCTTTTTACCATTTTATTTCCATTATTTTTAATTTCCCTCTCATTTTTCTTTAAAAGTTTCCTTTCATTATTTTTATTATTAATTAAATTATTTTCTTTTGTTGGGGAATCTGTTGTTGGTAACCAAATATTTGGATTTATTTCTCCAATTGTTGCTGCAGAAGACCATTTGACGCCCTCAAAACTTTCGTCTATCTAAAAATTAATTTAAAAAATAATTATTAAACATAGACGATAATATAATTAAATAGGGCCCATTTTGGATATAAGAGCATCAATGATTCACCCTTGAGGCATCAATATTCCATCCCCTTGGGAGTTATATACAACGAGATTCGATTAAAATCTTCTGACACCGTTTATACCGATAATGGAATTAATACTTTTATAAAAAAGGGAAGTTCCAACCCAAAGGTTTCCTAGTAAAATCACATTGGATCCAAACAAATCAAATGGTTTTCTAAAACAGGACTTTAACAGATTTTAAGACCAAATTTGCTTGATTTAATTTCAAAAAATAATTACAGAAGCATCTATGGAAGGAAGAAGACTTAATGTATCAGCTCTAGATTTCAAGCTTTCCTTCTCTCCCTTTTCATTTTTTTCGCCAAAAGCTTTGTTTTTAGAGAACAAAACTGCCGTTTGAGCATTTAATGATGAATCTAAATTTAAATATATATTAAATGAAATCGCTGACAAATCCCTAACCCGTTGGATTATAACAGATAGGATATATTAGAGAGGAGGTAAAATAACGATAAATCGGGAATTTTGATGGGATAAGTAAAAGATTTTAATTTCGAGAAATAATCACTTTTAACACAGTCAAACCTAGATTTTAGGTACCCACAAAATTGGGTATCGTTAGTGTGTAAAAATACTTTTTTTTAAATTTGGGGAGTGCATTTTAAAAGAAAAATAAAAACTTTTCTTTGCATAATAAGTTGCATAACGTTCAAACTTTTCTGCATGTCGCATATATGAATTTACCTTAAAAAATAATTTTAAAAAGGAATTTTTTTCAATAAAAACAACTAACAGCAGCAAATTCCAAAAGGCTCAAAAAGACAAAAAATAAACAGGCTAAATTAATAATATTTTAATTTATTTTAATTAATTAATTACCTCCAAACCAAAAATCGATGGCTTTAGCATATGCTACTTGAGGAAGGCCAAAACGGAGGCCATTCCCCTATAAAAATTTTTTTGAAAAAATATTAACTGAAAAATTATTAATTTTAGAAATTTTTTGTTACAAAAATTAAAAAATGCCCTGAGGCAATTTAATTTAAAACTAGCAAATATCCCCTATTTTTCTTTAAAAATAGTTAAGTTTCTAATTAAGAAAAATTATTTTTTTCGAGTTTCTGATTAAAAAATTAATTTTTCTACCAAAGTAGACAATGAAAGTAGAGTGGTAAATGAAAGAGTAACACGTGCCGGAACAGCTCTAAATAAATAGAAAAGTTTTTTTTATTTTAAAAAATTGCCTTCTGTCAATCCAAAAGGAGACCTTTAAACAAAATAAATATTTATCTAAATTTAAATAATTACCCAAGAAATAATAACAATAAGACCAGTAGGTATATATGACTGTACAACATGATAACCAATTTGTCTATTTAAATGAATTATTGCTTCCAAACAACTAAATTCATCTAAATATTTTTATTATTTTTAATAAAAAAAATATTTTTTTTACAATCTAGGGCCAAGAATTTTTTTAAATATTTATTTTTTAAGTAGTAATAAATTTAAAAATTCATAAAAATTAAAAGATTTAGAGCAGTCGGATCTCATTTTTAAATATCTCCTTGAATAAGAAAATTTAATAATTAGAAGTATTTATATAGAGAGTAGCTTAAAGTGAAGTTTCTTCAATTAAAAAATACAAGTTGAAATAAAATACTTAAAATACTCCCTAAAATTGGAAAGCATTTAGAATCCTTGCAGAGGTCGATCGAAAATGACGAAAATGCCGGAAATAGGAACTGTCGTAAATCGGCAGGAAAAAAACGTCGGAACTCGGAATTCCGATCGACCTCTGTTAGGCAGTACCTTCCAATGTTTAATCAACTTAAAAATAATGTCAAATATCTAAAATCCCCCAAGATATCGAGTACTTAAATTTAATTTTAATTAAAAACCTCTTTTAAAAGAGTATTCCATAATAGCATAATTATATATTCCATTACAATATTCATTACTTAAATTGGAAATTCTAAATTCGGGTAATTGAATGTTTGGATTATATCGAGTAGAATTTCCAATAAACCAACGAACTTTTAATTGTTTTTCGATATAAGCATCTTTTTTTAAAAATTAATTTAAAAATATTTATATTTAAAAATACAAACAGCTTAAAAATTGAATAGAACATCTTTGACTATCCATTGGATATAATGACTACAAAATTAATTAATTTTAATATTTTTTGATTATTTTGTAAGAGGAATGTGATTTTGTGAGATTTAATAATTAAATTTCAAATCCAAATTTAATAAAGATTTAATTTTTAGTCAGTAGAATCATATTAATATAAATAATTATGGAAAATAATTAAATAATAAAAGGGCCGGCCTTTTAAATTAATTGCCTCAGGGCATTTTTAAATAATTTTTTATTTCGAGTCTTTAGCCCATTCTAACAATAATTAGAAATTAAATTAAATAAATAAACTAACCAAATCTAAATTGCATGCAACCCCCAAAGTAATCCTTTTTTTTAAATTATTTTTTTAATTAAAAAATTTATTTTTAACTACCTAGTAGAATAAGCAACTTCACCCGTTTGGTCAACAAATAAATTAAAATTGGGGGCTATAACATCATGAAAACGGGATATTCTAGCATTTGCAAAATACAAATCTGGTAACCTTTAATTCAATTATATTTTCTTAATTGTAAATAACTTTTTTTGTCAGTTATTTGTCTTGGGGAATAAATTTTTCCCGCTAATTTCTAATTAAGTTCGTGTATTTGTTTTTAAGGATTCGTCAAGACCTTTGCGATTGCTTGTATTATTATCTTCCCTTAATTTTAAAAATTTAACAAAGGTTTAGCCACCGGGAAAGACCTGAACCCGAGAGCTTCTGAAATGCTTGTTAGGCTTTCACCTAAATATTTATGTTTAATCTATCACGATTTATGTGTTCTTTCCTTTTATCCTTATTTATTGTTGGTTCCCATTTGAACGTTTAAATGCTGCTAGATAAATCAAACTCATTGTTTTAAAATAATTTTTTAATTTAAATTAGAAACCAACCAAATATATTTTCGTATATTTGGATCATTTAAAAGTAAATAATCATTAGAAGAATGATTTAAAGAATAATCTTTCCAACTCAAATATAAATATAAATCAACATCAAAACTCTAAAGAATTTTAATTAATTTAATTAATTAAAAATGACCATATCAGCAGCTCTAAAATTCCCCAAAGATTCAATATATATTCCTGCCAAAACTTGTAATGGTTGTCCATTTACTGAAGGAGGCATTTTTGGATTACGTTGAAGACGTTCACGTAAACCAAAATTGTTACGGGCTTTGACAAAGCTTTAAATAAATGAATTATTATCTTAAATTTGTACCAATTAATTGGATTTTTGGTTTTAAAAAATTAATGGGATATATCAACCTCTAAGGTATATAATAGGGATGGGCCGGGTTACCCGAAACCTGAAACCCGGACTTTTTTTCGACCCGAAACTCGATCCGAAGGAAATTTCGAAAACCCGATCCGAAACTCGACCCAACTTTTTTCTCAACCCGGCCCACCCCTGGTCAGGGGTGGGCGCATTGCGTTTTGCGTTATTTGCGTTAAATTTTGGCCTTTTTTTGCGTTTTGCGTTTTGCGTTAATTTCGATGAAATTAACAATGAAATTAACGCAAAAAATATACACAATCTGAGGACAAAATTGGAGAAATTTGGCTTCTTGGCCTTCCAAAATTTTGAAAATTTTCGCCTGCGGCGCTAAAAAAGAAGAAATCTGGCTGCTTGGATTACCAAAATTCCCAAAATTTTCGCCTGCGGCGCTAAAAAAGTAAGTAGGATCAAGTAGAACTAAGGGAAAGATCAGTTGATCTGAAGGGATAGAAGATAGCCCTTTATTGATAGCCCTTTATTCTACTGATAGCCCTTTATAACTACTGATAGCTTTTTATTCTCCGCTATCTCTCCAACTCACTCGACATCTGGGGCAATCCCATAGTATCTTTTTAAATCTTCTTAACCCCTCCAAATTACATGATAATCTCTGTAATCCCACGCTACTTCGGTAAACCCCCTTGAGACCTCTAAATCCTCTGATATCCTTCATAATCCCTTGTATCACCGATATCTCTCCAGATCATTACCCATCCAAATTAAAGTAGCACAAAATCGAGTAGGACTCGCTGACTTATAGTAATACTTCAATTTTTAACTGAAAAATGGCTAATACTTAATTTCAAAAATTTTTTTCCCAATTTTGCGTTCTTGCGTTTTGCGTTATTTGCGTTAAATTTTGGCCTTGCGTTGCGTTTTGCGTCTTGCGTTTTTTGAGATTGTCCTTGCGCCCACCCCTGCCCCTGGTATATAATACATGAAATGAAAGGCAATTATTTTACAATTATTTATTATCCCAATCAAGATACCATTTATCATTAGCAAAACCTCCAAATAAATAAATAATTAAAATAATTTCTAAAATAGATAGCATTTCTATTTAATTTAAAAATTCTAAAATAAAACATTAAATAATTTTAAAAATATTTTTATTAAATTTTAAAAAAGAAATTTTTTTTAAATAAAAATCTGTTACTAGTTTATTTATTTTTATCTACTAAAAACACATATTCCCCCCCTCCCCATATTTTTATATAAAAAATAAATTTATTGAAAAGAATTTTTTTGGTCTTTTTTGACACTTTTAATGTTCTCTATTTTATTCTTTTATTTTTCCTTTAGGACTTGAAATAAATTATCTAAAAAATAAACAGAAATTTTTTTAAGAAAAAAATTTCAAACAAATAAGCTTTAATATTTTTGTTTATTTTTTTATTTTTTAAATATAATTTTTTGGAAGGAAATTTTAAATTGAAAAATAAAGATATTAAAAGGAAACAAATGATGATATTATAATTATCGCTATTGTTGTCAGTAAGGTTGGCGGATCCGGATATACAGATTCGAAAGAAGGCAGGATATCCGGAAGTATTTGGTTCAGATATCGAATCCGGATATCCGAGGATTTCCAACTACCTATCCGTCAACATTAGTTGTCCAAATCCAATAAAAGCCCGGGTATCCGGAAATTTTTGGATAGGATTGGGGTCTGAAAAAGAATCGAATCTCTTTTAACTTTAATGAAAAAAATTGGCAAACTTAAATGCTACTAATTTTATGGTAAATGCTCTAAACAATTTGTTTTTATCTTTTAACAAAATTTTAGCTTTTTAATTGAAACCTGACGAATTCTTTAAAAAAATTTATTTCTTTTAATTAAAAATATTTAGGTAATTATTGAGTAATTAGAGTTTGTTTCGTAATTATTAATTACTCTTTAATTGCCCGTAAAAATTAAAAAAATTAAATATAATTTTTTGTCTATACTATTTTTATTTAATTTTTTAAATTATTTCTATAAAAAATTTAAGAAAAAATTTTTTTATAAAAAATATTGGAACGATAAAAAAATAAAAAAAATAAATAACCAACAAAAAAAACTCATCATCATCATCAAAACGATTAACTACTACAAAATGTGCATTTTTTATTTTTTTATTTTTTTTGTAAATATTATATTCCTTTGGGGATAAAATAAAGTCTAAAATGCACATCACAAATAAATATATATAAGTGCACACATTTTTATTTTAGAGATATTTTTTAAATAAAAATAAATAGTATTTATTTGTTTAATAAATTATATTTTTTTCAAAAATTTTTTTAATTTTACACATGAGCGCGATAATTTCAGACAATAATAAAATTGATAAAATAAACAAAAAAATTCTTAACATAACAATTTAAAAAGCAAAAAATGTCATTTAAGGTGAGGGAGTCAACAAACTGGGCCAAATCAAAAGTGAGTATATGTCAGGGTTGGAAGTAATTACTCTTTAACTGATTAAAAAAATTAAAAAAAATTTCATATGTTAGGTTCCAGGGATCCAAATTTGGATTCGATCTGGTTCAGGGTATCCGAAAATTTCCCAGAAGGGGTTGAAAGTCAATGTAAGTTTCTGTTTTAGAAAGAAATAATGAGGCAAAAGAAAGCATTTATAAAATAATAAATGGGAGAGAGGACTACAAAAAATTACAAAATATTTCAGGGATGGAATAAATCCCATAATTATGTACCTATTCTATTTTTTGTTAACTTAAACATTTTTATTTAGGTATTTAATTAAAAAAATTATATTTTTCGCCATTTTAATCTAATTTTTAAATGAAAATTTTAAAATAAAATTTTTTAAATAATATAGGTAATGTGTAATTCAAAAATAAATTTTTAAAAAATTCCTTAGCAAAAAATAATTTCTTTTCAAAATAAATATTTTTTCTTTTACAATTTTTCTTGTTCAATTTCCAAAATCGTTTGTTAAAATATCTTTTAGTTCCCTTCTGAAAAATAATTAAAATAAATTTTAATTTAAAAATACAAATAAAAACCTTTGTAAAAACGCGATTTTTGGTTTGTTAAATTAAAATTTAATTTTTCTTTTTCTTTTTTTAAATTAATTTCAAGTTTTTTAAAATTATTTAGCAATTCTTCCCATTCTAAAGAATTATCTGGATTTTTACAAATTTCATTTTCTACCAATTCTTTTACTCTTAAATCTTCCTTTGCCTCTTCCTCCTCATCTTCCTCATCACAACAATCCAAATAATCAAGATTTGTCAGATCCCAATCATCATCATCATCCTCATCATAATCTTCCTCCTCTTCCTCCACTTCCATTTTTATCATTTTCCCCTTTATCTTCTCCTTAATCTTCTCCTCCTTATAATCTTCCAAAATTCCTTCTTCCAATTCTTCTTCATCAAAATTAATTTCAACATCTTCCAACAACCCCTCCTCCAATTTTTCTTTACCTTTTTCTTTTTCCCATTTTTCTTTAATTTTTTGTTTTTCATTTTCTAATTTACCTATTCTCATCTTTTTTAAAAACCGATTTTCTTAAAAAATAAAAATATTTAAATTATTTTTATAAAGATCCCCCCTCCACCAAAAAATTTACTTACTTAATGTTTTAATTCTAAAAGGCAATTTTAATTCTTTTATCTTTTTATTTTGATAAGATTTTCGTTTCTTCAATATAGACTCTTTTGTAACTGTAAAAACATTTTCTTCTGGTTTTTCGTTTAAATTTGGTTCTGTCAACAAAACATTGGAATTTTGAGGAACAGATAAATGTTGTTGCAAGGAAGGTTGTTGAATGTTTTGTTGGTCGGTATGTTTTGTTGAGTGCTCTAATGTGGAAACAATTTGTTGAGATTGTTGCGATGTTTGTGCTAACATTTGTTGATGTTTTTGTTGTAATTGAGGGATGTTTGGATGATTTAATGAATGTTCGGGAGAATGTTTGGGAGAATGTTGGGTGGAATGTTGGGGAGCATGTTTGTCAGGATTTTCACTTGAATGTTGGGAGGTATGTTTGGACGATGTTTCTATTATCTGTTGAGGCATAGAAACATCAACATGTTTTCCTATATTTTCATTAATAGGAATGTTTTGCGGAATTAATTGTTTTATAGGTTTTAATAAATCTTTATATATGTTTATTTGTTCATCTGTCAAAACATTTAAAATATTTTCCGGTTTAATCAATTTATTCTCGTTTGTTTCCAATTTACAATTGTTTGTTTTAAAATCAAAAATATAAACATTTTCTCTTTCCCCTTCATTTATTGCTGTTTTACAATTAAATGGATGTTCCCTAGGTTTTACCTTTTCTTTAACATAAATTAATTTATATTTATCATTCCCACATATTTGCATTCTAAAATAATTACTAGAATAATATCCTTCTTCAGTTTTTTGATCCAATTCAAATAAATATTTATTTTCCTCATCATTTCCACACCCAACAAACATTTTTATATTTTTCATTCTTTTTTGTTTTGCAATAAATTTTAAAATTTTAATTGGACGTAAAATTAAAAGGGCATATTCTGACCAATTTGGAATTTGTTGATTGCTTATACACCGATATCCCATTAATTTAAAATCGTTAATTTGAAATATTATAATTGCATAATCAAATTTAAAATTAAAACCTTGGACAAGAATTTTCTTAAAAATATTTTTAAATTATTCTAAAAATTACATACTTTTTTATAAAATCATTTACAGGGTAACGAGAAATGAACCGAACACTTTATTTGTGACATAACTTTTTTCAAATTAAGGATCATGAAATCAAATAAGGCTTAAATGACAGAGAACTAAATAAGGAACAAGTCTACTCAAGAAATTTCGAAGTGCTCATTCTCTGAAGAACCGGGGCTTATTAGCCCTGAACGAGAATTGTTTGGGCTATAGAATGAGTATAAAAATATTTAAAAATTAAAATGAGTAAAAAAGATGTGCCTAATTGAAAAGTGTCCGGTCCATTTCTTGTCGTCCTGCTTGTAAAATATAATAAATTTATTAATTCTACATATTTATTTTTCGTTTCCTCTCTCGTTTAAAGAAGGAGGAAAAGATGTTTTTGTCGGATATTTATATTACTTATCTAAATTATCTTAAGGAGTCCTTTCCACAAGGGTTATCTGAAAAATGTTCGGATATCAAATGCTTTTTAAAATCCTCCGCTACTCCTACATATTCTTGATTTTTCCTCTTATTTTACATCGCTTAATTCCCTTCTTTTCAAAAAATATTTATTTTGGAATCAGAGATCGAATCCCCTTCAAAACCTTTCCCTCTACCAAATTCCTTATTTATTCCAAATTAACAACTTAAAATATAAGAAACCCAACAGAATAATTTAAAATAATAAAAACCATTCATTTATTTTTATTTTATTTACAAGAATATTTATTTAAATACCTTTTCATTGCCTAAAATATTCATAAAAATATTCAATATAAAATCTGATTTTTTAGTTTCAATTTTTTCCTCCTTTCCTTCATGAAATAATACCAAATCATAATTATTTGTCCACTTTTTTTGTTTTATATTTTTATAATTTAATTCCAACTCAAAACGATTATTTTGACCTTTTCTACATTCTTCTTTTCCTTCCCAATCTATTTTTACTAGAACCATAGATCCAGAAATTTTTAGAATTTTTAAATAAAATAAAAATACAATGAAAATAATTTTTAATGAAGGCATTTTCTCTGAAAAAAATTTATTTTTTTTTAAATTTATTTTTATTATTAAAAAATCAAAATTCCTTTTCCCTTCCTTTTCCGCTTTTTTAAAAAAACAATAGCAATGATGCAATAAAAAATTATTTAGCCCTGCCCTCGCCTTCCTCTCTTGCTATTTAAATTTAATTGATTAAATTTTTAATATTGAATGGAAAATGCTATTTTATAAAAAATAATTTTTTAAATAAATTAAATAGGAGAATTGTTAAATATTTTTTGAAGAAAGAATAAGAATTAAAGGAGGATTTTAGACATATTTGCTCCGATAACTACCCTCTTCCAATCGAGTCTTATTTAAAAAACTCGAATCAAATATTTTGACAACATTTTTTACTTTTTGTAGTCCGTTCTATAATTTTCGGTTTAGATTTGAGATTGGTAGTTTCAAAAATCCTGGATCTTGATTCTGGATTTAGGTTAGTAATCTAAGAAATTACACTAAAAATAATTTATTTTGATAAACTTTTTTTTCTTTTTTTAAGTATTTTTTGCGAAATAAAATCTCTCCTTTCCCATTATTAAATAAATTAAAAACAAACTTGTTATATAAAAATAAATAGGTAAATATTTTGTCTGAGAAAAATAAAATAATTTCTAAATAAATTTGATAAGGAAGGTTAAAAAAATTTTAAAAAAAAATAATTAAATGCTAAACAAATTTAAATATTTTTATTTTTCTGTCTACACTTTTAATTTTTCTTCTCATGCAATTTAAAAAAATTTAATTAAATGTGGCAAAAAATTTACTTTTAAAATTCTTTGCAAGAGAATTATGCAATAATTATTTTAAAATTAAGAAAAAACATTTTGAGGATTTGTAAAATAAAATAATTTCAAGTCTTTGTCTTGTAATTAATTTAAATCTTTAAAATTTAATAAAATAAATATTTATATTTAAAAAATAAAAATTAAATAAAATACCCAAATTTTTAACCAAAAATTTTTAAAAATTTCAAAGAAAAATTTGTTTAACTTAATAAATCAAAAATAAAATTTTTAATAATAAAATGTCGGGAGCAGGCCAACGTACCGCGAGCCCAATGTACCGCAGAGCTATAACTTCGTTCAAAATTGTCGAATCCGGGACGCCCTGATATGGTTCGATTCAGCTCGTCAAGATGCATCAAACCATACCCAGGAGTCCCGGATGCGACCATTTTGAACAAAGTTTTAGCTTCGCGGTACGTCACCCTAAAATGTCAATAAAATTAGTTAAATAACCCAATTAAATACCCCAAATAAATCTTTTAACTTTTTAAAATCTTTCTTCTGTTAAATACCACAAATTAGGGTTGTGTTGATGATGAAGAAGAGTTTTCTGAAGATTTTTTATTATAAAAATTAACAAACAAAAAATTTTTTTAACCTTTAGAGAAACGTGATTTACTTTTTGGTAAATAAATTTTATCAGTTTCACGACGTAAATTTACTATTTTCTCAATTTTTTCTCTAAAATATTCTAACAACTTTTCCCAATAATCAACAGTATCATATATTCCATTTCTGCATATTTCGGATGCAAACTCATCACAATTTTCATCATCTTCATCATCAGAATCGTCGTCATCATCGTCAGAATCAACATCCTCCTCTACATATTTTTCTTCTCTTCCTTCCTCTATTTCCTTCCCTTTCCCTTTTATATCTTCAACTTCCTTATCATCCTTTCTTCCTTCACCCTTATCCTCTTCCACTTCACCACTTTTTACTTCCTTTTTTTCATCCTCTTCAACCTTCTTCTTTTCATCCTTCTCTTCACCAAAAATCTCCTCCCTCTTTTTCTCTTTCTTTCCAACTTCATCTAATATTAATATCCCTTTACCCTTTTGTGTCAAATCCTCACTTTTTTGAGGCAATTCTAATGCTATTGCTTTTCCTTTACTACTTTCTTGTATATATTTTTTATGTAATTTTTCTAAAAAATTCAAAAATATTTTCATAAATTTCATAAAAATATTTTTAGCCACCGTGTAGGAATCTTGCTTACACTTTTGCAGATGCTTACTTAACTGACTGACCTATTATTTCTTGATAGCACTCCTTTTTCATCCTCGGCTACCTATCTGGATATTTAAGATTTTGTGGCTCCAAACCCGATCCCTTCTAAAATTTTTTAAAATTAAGTTCCAACTTCGGTTAGAGCTAGCTCATGGAGTCATACCCAGCAACAGGTCTATCATATTATTTAATCCCAGCCTAAATTTTTTAGAGTAACTGATTTTAAACCAATTTCAAAAAATAATGTCTAAAAATTTACCTCTAATTTGAAATGAAGGAGACATTTTAATTTTTTTATTTAATTTATTTTCAATTCTTGTTAGTTTACGTTTTTTCAATGTTAATTGATTTAGATTTGAATAATCAAATGTTTGGGGTGTTTTTGGTTTGGTTTCTTTTGTTTTTAAATTTTCTCTATGTTTATTTATTTTTAATATTTCTCCTTTTGGTAATCTGTTGAATTTTCCAACATTTAAATGTTGTCCCGATGTTTGGGGATGTTTTATTGTATGAGAAGTTTCTGAAACCGAGGAATGTTTTAAGGGATGTTGGGGAATGTTTTGTTGAGGAGGTGTTGGTGGATGTTTGAGAATGTTTTGTTGAAAAGTTAAGGGAAATGGGGGAATGTTTTGGTGAGGAGGTGTTGAATGATGTTGAGGAATGTTTTGAGGTGTTGAATGATGTTGAGGAATGTTTTGAGGTGTTGAGGTATGTTTTTGAATGTCCATTTGTTGAGATATCTGTTGCAACATTTGTTGTTGTTGTTGAAACATTTCTATTGCTTTAATGTTTGAATGTTCTGCAATAGAAGGCTGTGCTATATGTTGAGGAGAGAATTGTTGCGAATGTTCGGAAGCATGTGGGGAAGCATGTGTGGAAGTATGTTCGGAAGTATGCTTTATATGTTGAGAAGAATGTTGTTGTGAAGAACCCACAACAATTGTTTGTTCACTCTCATTTATTCGTAAAGGTTCAGAGGTGCTTGAAGATGTTTCATGTTGTGTAAGCTCGTCTTAAAATATAATTAATTATATACTAACAAAAAATCTTAATTTATATACTTAATTCTTTATATATTTTAATTTATCTGCATTCTATAATACATCTTATCTGCATTCTATAATAACATATCTGCATTCTATAATAATTACTAGAATAATATCCTTCTTCAGTTTTTTGATCCAATTCAAATAAATATTTATTTTCCTCATCATTTCCACACCCAACAAACATTTTTATATTTTTCATTCTTTTTTGTTTTGCAATAAATTTTAAAATTTTAATTGGACGTAAAATTAAAAGGGCATTTTCTGACCAATTTGGAATTTGTTGATTGCTAATTTCACGATATCCCACAAATTTAAAATCAACAATTTTAAATATTAAAATTGTATATTCATTAACAAATTGAAATTTTTTGACAACATTTCTCTTTAAAAAAATAAAATTGAAATGTTTAAAAATTAAAAAAATTATGCTTGATTCTAAGTTAAGCTTCTGGTGGATATTAATTTTTATAAAGTCTAGACAGGATTTCCCATTAAAAATTCCAAAATCAACTTAAGGGTCCCAAAGAGATGCTTAATTCAGAAAAGCTTATTTCTCTTACAGTCCCTAAATATCCTTAAATAAACATATAAAAAACCTTTTTATCTTCAATACGGGGGACATTAATAAAAATATTTAATTCAAAAATATTTTTCGATTCAATTTTCCAATTTTTATAAAAATAATTTTCCTCCTTTCCTTCATGAAATAATACCAAATCATAATTATTTGTCCACTTTTTTTTGTTTTATATTTTTATAATTTAATTCCAACTCAAAACGATTATTTTGACCTTTTCTGCATTCTTCTTTTCCTTCCCAATCTACAGGGTGCGGCAAATTTTCCGCCCCTTTTGTTTTTGCCATAACTTTTTTCAAAGTTAATGAAAATTGATAATTCTTTTTTTATTTTATTCCCAACACTCTAAGAAAATTTTTGGTACCGAATATTAGAAATTTGGTTTATAGACAATAAGGATATGCCCGAAATTGTCTATAAATTGCATCAAGAAATATTTTTTTATGACAAAGTTTACTTTGCCATAACTTCGCTCAAAGTCACCCAATCTGACTAATTTTGGTACCAATCGACTTGTCTCGACGAGGAGCATCGAAATAGCCTATAATTAGATTTTTGAAAATTTCACCTAAAAAAGTCATTATTTCATAATTTATCATTCAAAGGCCCATATCTTAGCTCAAGAACAAGATAATCGCTTTATTTTGACGTCATTCGAATCAGCTTAAAGAGCTTATTCGAATGAAATAAATTTCCCCCATATCAGACAGACTGCATTTAAATCAGACGACTTTTGGTCCAAAAAATTTTGCCAAAAGTTTAAGACAAAATAATCAAAGTGATTTTAAAAATTTTGAGAATATTTCGGTACCAAAAATTTTCTTAGAGTGTTGGGCATAAAATAAAAAAAGAATTATCAATTTTCATTGAAATTGAAAAAAGTTATGGCAAAAACAAAAGGGGCGGAAAATTTGCCGCACCCTGTATTTTTACTAAAACCATAAATCCAGAAATTTTTCGAATTTTTAAATAAAATAAAAATACAAACAAAATAATTTTTAAAGAAGGCATTTTTCTCTGAAAAAATTTAATTTTATATAGAATTCTGAGATATATTTTGAATTATTTTGTAGTTTGGCAACCCTTCTTCTTTCTAATAAAACACATACATGTATGTAGATAGGTGTGAACGATTTAGAAAAAAAATCGGTTTGGCTCCTGAATATACATATTTAAAAAATCTTCAGCTTTGGTTCCTACTAGGAAGAAGGAACTTTGGCTTCTTGGCCATTCCAATACATAACCTCGAAAATTTTCGGTTCGGATATCTGTATAACTTTTTAGAATTTTCTATGTATGTTCAGTTAAAAGTTTTCGTCAATTTAACGACCACTTATTTCTTAATTTAAAAAATATTTAAATAAAATTTTTTAAAAATATTTTTAATTAATTGTTTAATTAAACGAGAATTAAAATTTTTAAGGATTTTTTTATTTAATTTAAATATTAATTTATTTAATTAATTTTTTTTATTTATTTTTTTTTTATTTTTTTTTAATTTAAATTTTTAAGACCTATTAAACAATGGATTTTTAATTTTTAAGGCAATTGCTATTTTTTAAGAATCGATTAATTCTTCCTATCGAATAAATTTATTAAAACATAAAAATTTTTATATTTAAAAAATTATATAGAAAATTCACCAAAATTACCATTTACCGACAAAGTATTTAAATAAAATATCTGTTCTTCAGACTATTCTATTATACCGTAAATGCTGAAATAATTCAACCGGCTGAAGATCAGTTCATGAGCTTCCGCACAGAGCTCGAAGCCAACATGAAGTGGATCTGGAAATATCGACTCCTTTTTTAATTATAAAATCCCCGGAGGCACAAATCCCTAATACCCAGCACTGCTCTGTAGGAATTCGACTGGGTTTTTCGTTTAAGGAAGGGGAATTGTAGGGAATATTAATTATTATTTATAAGTCTTTTAAACTTTATTGGGATTTAAGAAAAAATAAATTTATTTTTAAATTTAAAATATTTTAATTAATAAATTTTATTTAAAAAAGTGAATAAAATAAATAAAAAAAATTTTTTTATAAAATTTAAATGGAGATAATGGAGGAGAGTCTATTGAATAAAAATATAAATCAATTTAAATTTTTTGTCAAGCATTAAGAGGAATCCTTCCCCCATCCCCCCAATTATTGTTCAATTATTCAATAAAAATTTTTATTGAATTTTTATGTGGAAAGAATTGTGTTGTAAATATTAGTGATGTTCGAGAGTCAAAAAATCCCGAGAGTCGAGAGTCGAGACCGAGACCGAGAATCAACCCCGAGACCGAGACCAAAACGAGAGTCGAGAGTCGAGACCGAGAGTCGAGACCGAGAGATTAAGAGGGATATCACTTGATGTCCCTCCTAATCCCCAAAAATCCCTTGATATACCTCAAAATCCCCATACTCGCTTGAATCCCCTTGTCCACAATATATATTCAATGATATTCACATTAATCTCTTAAAATCCCCTCATATCCTTCCATATCCCTACAAATCCAACAATATCTTTTTGATCCATCGATGCACCCATCCCTTGATATTAAATTTTATCCTGCAGAATCCACAGTATCTAATATACCACAAACCACAAAATCTAATCCTTTAATCTTATTAAATTAAAATTTTTGCTGCATTTTTGGCGCCGCAGGCGAAAATTTTTTGAATTTTGGAGCTCAAGAAGCCAAATTTCCTCCATTTTCAGCGCCGCAGGCGAAAATTTTGAGAATTTTGGAGCTCAAGAAGCCAGATTTCTTCCATTTTTCAGCGCCGCAGGCAAAATTTTGGGAATTTTGGAGACTTTTCCTTAAAAATTTTAATATCAAAGTACGCAAGGTCCGAGTAAAGTTCAAAAAATTTCCGTCATTAGGGGTGTAAATTTAGTCTCGTTTTCCGAGACCAAAACACCGAGACCGAGACCGAGACCGAGAGCTCAAAAAACCCGAGAAATTTCTCGACTCGAGAGTCGAGACCGAGAGTCTCGAACATCACTAGTAAATATATAGAGAATCACAAAGCAGAAATGTTTGGAATAATGTTCAGAAATATGTTGGGAGAAATTATTTGTTGTATATGTTGAGAAGAATGTTGTGATAAACATTTGTTGTGAAGAACTCACAACAATTGTTTGTACTCTCTCATTAATCCGAACATGTTCAGTAGCTTATTGTCTAATGTAGAGTAAGTCGAGTTCGAGCGAGTTCGAGTTTACTCGACTCGAACTCGGGGGATTTCAAACTCGGCATACTCGAACTCGGTTTTTCCCCAATTACTCGGTACTCGACTTACTTTAGTCTACATAATGTTTTC